CTATATGTCATGGTCAACTCAATGGCAATCAAACACAACAACAGGAAACCCTCAACTACCATATTCTGACCCTTGACATTATTATTGTCTCAGATCATTGACGTTACTTTTGTTCATGGTTACGTTGTGACCATCTTCTTCCCTAGTTTAAGACCCTCCCGTTTTAAGTAGGTGTAGAAGATCTGTCCCAAGGTACCATTTAAGGAAACAGACAGGCAGTTTTAATGGAAGATGGTGCACTAACCAGGGTAAATACAGCTCTTTGTTTACTTATTGGAGTTTTATCTTTTCTTATCTTTTTTTTTTCATTTGAGGAAGAGATTTGCTTGGGTTTTGTTTTTATTTTTTTTTATTTTTTGAGTGTCTTGAGATTAGACAAATCATGCTACTTCCATTGTCTGACCCAAAAAATGTCCAAACTGATGTCAAAATCATTCTAGTTCACAGTAACCCTAAAACTATTATTTGAAATGCTCATTGGGATTTCTTGCCTATAAAGTTCATGTAATAGCTTTGAAAAAGTTCAAACCATAACCTTATAAGTAGTAGCTGAATGGAACCTGTGCCCTAAGGAACTTTGGGCTGAAATATTAGCCACACATTCATCCCTTTGAAGGGGCATTTTTTCTGATTAAAACGTGTTAAGCTCAGCGAGGTTTCTTTGAGCCTCTAACATATATTCCCCTTAGTTACCCAGGAAAATGGGTGGGGTGAAGTTGTCCCCCCTATTGCTAGAAAAGATCTTTAGATTCCAATCTTCCTTAATGATCTTTTACTCAGAGCTAGGCCAGGCGAACAGCATATCTTACCTTAAAGGAACATATCTTTTTCTCTCGGTCTCCTGCACACAACTGTAAGGCCTTGTCATATTTCTTGACATAGCGCTTACACTGCAAGTCCTCCTGCACTATGAGATCCACCTCATGCAACTTGCTTGTTTGTTCATCCTCAGAGATCCGGCCCCAGCCAGCAACGCTGCACACCTGCCCAGGTCTCACGTGGTCACCTTCTCCAGGCACAGGAAGCAGGCCCACAGCTGGGGTCAGTTGGGCCTTTGTCTTCAGCTGATGAAGGGAACAACAAAGTTCTGGTGACTGTCCTTCCGCTGCCCTGCAGGGCCTGATGGGCTGCACTTTATCCCTTCTCCCCCCAAAACCTGGGATTAGTGAAGCAGCCAGGGGTCATGGTGGAAGGAGAAATTTCTTGAACTGAAGGGAGCAGGAGCAGCAGGGAGTGAGCCTCACCTGTAGTAACATGACATCATAGATATAAGTCCTATTATTATACTTAGGGTGGGGGATGGCTTCTTTCACAGAAATTTTCTGCTGTGTGTTTTCTTGCAACTTAAAGTCGTGGGCTCCCAAGATGACTTTCATGGACCTGCACAGAGAGCAGAGAAGAGGTTCTCACACGACCTGCAGCCCTGGAGCCTCAGAAGCAGGTGAAAG